TTGAATCCTGTCATTTTTATTTCTGTTTAGATTCTTGATATAGCTGTACTTTTCCACAGTTATACCTTCATTGAATTTCTTTCCGTAACCCTTTGGGTATAGTCATTCTTTTCTTCAGCCCTTTGTATTGCTTCCAGAACTCTCTGAAGGGCTGGTTTTCTGCCTATTCATATCATGGATGATTTTTCTTGCCCCTTCAACTATAATAGACATTTGGCTGGGTATAGTAATCTGGGTTTGCGTCTGTGGTCATTTAAAACTGGGAATACTTTCGTCCAGGCGCTTCTGGCTTTCATAGTTTTCACTGAAAAGTCAGCTGTAATCCTAATGGGTTTTCTTTTATATATGACTTTTTTCTGTTTTGCAGCTTTCAGAATTGTCTCTTTGTTCTCTATGTTTAGTGTTTTTGCTATGATGAGCCATGGAGAGTTTCTTTTCTGGTGCTGTCTGTTTAGTGTTCTATATGCTTCTTGTATTTGTATGGGCATGTCTTTCTTTAATTTTGGGAAATTTTCTTCCATGATTCTGTTGAAGATCTATTCCATGCCATTATCTGGGGATTGTTCTCCTTTCTGTATGCCTATGATCTGTAAGTTTGGTCTTTTTATGGTGTCACACAATTCCTCCATATTCCATTCTTGTGATTTCTTAACTTTTTCATAATCTTTGCTTGAGTGGTTTAGTTTGTCCACTTTATCTTCCAGTCTTGATACTGTGTTTTCTACTTCATTCATCGTATTGATGAGGCTTTCTCCTGTTGTCTCTAATTGGTTTACTGAGGGTTTCGCTTCCTTCTTTATTTCAGCCTGAGTATTCTTCAATATTTCTAACTCTTTTCTGAATTCATTCAGAAAATTAATTCAGAAGTTTATCCCTATCTTCTTCCATCAGTTCTTTGATTTCATTGTTTGTGTATTCTTTAAATTCACTGAATTCTTTTATTTATGTTTATTATAATTGTTCTTTTGAGTTCCATGTCCTACATTATCTCTAGGAGGTTCTCCTTGTACTCCTCTAGTTGACAATTGGTATTATTTGGGGATATGTTATTTTGGTTTTTCGTGTTATTTTTTCTCTGTGAATTTGACTTGTGAATTTCTATTGTAGTTTCTGATTCTTGTTTGAGATTCGAGCCTTCAAGTTTCGGTGTGCTTCTTTTTGTAAACTTTATGTGTCTTTCTGATTTACTTTTTGGGCATGAAAAGCTGGTTCCTTTAAGCTTCCGGTTCTCTCATTTGCTTTTATACTGGAGTGGCCAGATTGCTTCTGTCTTCAGGAGTTCCCACAGAGGCCCAAGTCATATGAGGATCAGATGCTCTTAGGCTTTCTCCTGAGGTCTGGATCCCTCCAGGAAAGATTTTGGCCTCAGGAATTTGGGGTTGGACTGGCCTGGGAGCCCGGCCCAGGAATCATGAGGTCTAGGGCAGCTGGTGGCTGTGCCACCCAGAGATGCAAGGGAAGATGGGAGTGGGAAGCAGTCCCAAGGACTCCTGGGGAGTGTACTGAGGAGCTGGGTCAGTCTGGATGCAAAAGATCAGGAAGCCAAGAGGTCAGCCCTGGTGTCCAGGAAAGAGGCTGGCGGGCAGTGCAGGTGCAGGGAGTTAGAGGGAGGTGAGGGCACAGGCAGGCCCAGAGTGCTCCTGGTAAACTGAGAAGGAACTGGGTTGGTCTGGGTGCAAAGGATCTGGAAGCAGTGGTGGTTTCCCAGGTGTCTGGGGGGCCAAGAAAAGGAATGGGACAGGACCCAGGCTAGGAGGAGAGACTGGCGGGGGAGATGTGAGGGTGAATGATGCTGGGGAGTCAAGGTGCGGAGGGCACAGTCGACTTACCCTGAGTGAGGCCTGTGGATCCTGCAGGTCCAGGGAAGCAGAGGGAGGTCAACTGTCAGATTTTTAACTTTGATTTAAAAGGTAGAGATGAAAACAAAAAATCAATTCTTACTCTGAAAATTCTAAGCTCATTCACTTATCTGACCATGGTGACGTTACTACATTTATCTTTTCAGCTTGCAGGGTTTATCTTGTCCAATCTAGTGTGCCTTATGCTTTTACAACACAGGTAGACATGCTATATAGACATGGTATATCAGGTAAAAGAAAGTGGAACAGACAGACTCAAAGTGAGGCCCTGTGGTTCTCTGGCTAGGAGTTAAGCACATTTGACATTGGTTGTAGTTGCAGGGGTCAAAGGCTAAGATTTACACCAATGTCTCTTGGCTTGTATCCACCTTTGTCTTTTCCTTCCTAAGAACTGTTTCTTAAATAAGGCCTGAGGGCTAGAGTTCTTTAAGCTGGAACCTCCTTGTATAAGGTAGAAATACCGTCGTGGTGTGAGGAAGCATTCCTTAAATCTGTTGCTGGGGCCAGGTCTTTCAGTGAGCTGGTGACCCTGGACAGGAACTTCACCAGTGCTTCAGAACACTCCACCCTCCAAGTAGGAAAAGGACGCCAGAAAGGACTTCAGTTGGGGGTGTACCTCCCTATATGCTGAAAACAAGACAGCCAGTTTTTTGATCCTTCCTGTCCATAGCTTTATTGACTCTGCTAAAATGCAGGTTCCTTATGTCTAGCGGGCTCTGGGCTCAAAAGTTTGAAGGGCTCAGGAATTACTATCCCAGGACTCTTCCAATGTTTCATTCTAGGGACCTACAACATTATGGTTTGAGAAGTCATAGCCTTTCAGAAGGCTATGGAAAGGAGGCACAGAAGTCCAGTTCTCTTTGGCATACAGACCTAGAGCATGGATTCCAGAGTGACAGGTACAATTGCAAAAATATTAAAATTGATGGCCCTGGAACTCTATGGATTTTAGTACCATAAGGTCAGCTCCCGTAGCATTAGCTCTCCATATTAAAACATTTGTTTAAAGACCCCAAAACCTCAGGAAGAACCCGAGTCATCACATCTGAGGTTGCATCGGCTCAGAATTCTGATAGCAGGGGACACAATTCTGTGAACCGGAGACACAGTAAGACTAGAATATCGTGGGTGATGGTCTCAACAGTTTCAGGGTCTCATAGGTGACTGTTTCAAGGTTTCTAGGATTCTGTGGCTCCAGGAAGACAGGGCCGTTGTATATAACCTGTTATGTGAGGTAACAGGGCCCAAGAGAGCACCAGGACACATAAAACCCCTGGGTGATGAGAGGGCAGGGTGCCTGGATTCAGGGTCCCATTGTTCTAGCCCTGTGTAAGCTGCGGGCCTGCAGATGACTGGACTAAGAAAGGTGCCCAGGGTCCTCCTTACCTGCTGCAACTTGGTTCCAAACATGGAACCGCTCACATCAATAACAAACACCACATTCTTCTCCACAGGAGAGAGGCCTCTGGGGGCAAAGTAATGTATAAAATGGCACCGTAAATCTGGACAAAAAGAAGGGACGACAAGAGGAAACGTGAGAGCCAAACTGAATCGCGCCCCTCTTGTTTTCCCACATAGGGCACTGCTCTTTC